TGTACAGAAAATATAGTTATCGTAATCTGTCATATCGTGAGCAGCTATTTTGATCCACCTGGACATCCCAATATCCTAGTTACCTCGGGCATGCGCATTTGCATTTTTCTGACTTGGAACGCTTATGCGAGAGCGAGATTGAAACGGGATCTTGGTATCATGTCACCGTAGTTGCAAACCCCAAGTAATTTACCTCTGATTACACCTAATGAGAATAACAAATGCAAGTATTGAACAACTGCACATTATTTCCAAGTAGGTAGCCATGTATCCAAACTTGGTGAAAAAGTTCCATTAATTTTTACCATGTTGAAAAATTATAAGGATTTATACAACAAGAGGTTTGGTCGAGAAAGATTAATAAGGTTATCGTATTGCAAACACAGTTAAATTTGTTTTGTGATTTCTTTGAAATAACCTTGTATTAACATTTGTTAAAAAGCATTTATTTAGGGACTGTGCAGCAGTTTTCCCTCTAAGAAGACTGATTTTGTAGGGATCCAAGTCAAAATAGAATCCCCTAAAATCAAGTTCAGTCAGTTCGTTGACTTCTAAGTCAGTTTGTCAGTCGGTTGGTCTGTCTTTGAGAAAAAAATTAAATTGTATGTGAAAACAAACAAAAATGCTGTAGCCCCATGTTTCCTTTGTTTTTACACTTATTTTGTGAATTTCGTTACCAAATCACAAATTCACAAACTTATAGTAAGTAAGTTATGCACCAGTGAATTAGCATAAGTACTTGTGTCATAACAAATCTATGTGCATCAGTGGCGCATCATTTCTGCTTAGAGGGTACACTGTTGCACATGATGACCAAAAACTGATGTTAAATATATCTACTTGTCATATTTCAGGTGATCCGATGCCAGAAATGAAACAATCCACGTCACCAGGATCTAGTCCAATATTTGGGAATCAACCACAGACAGATAAACGAGAAAGTCGGTCGCCGTCATCTACACCGTCACTGGGATTTGGACCGCTTGAGGTGAGTTGATCGGTCACAGCATAGACTATAGCACAGACTTTGTTGAAGTCTATGTCTCTTTCTGGACAATTCGCAATTCCATATGTACTGTGCATTTAGTTTGTATGGAAGTTTTTCGTGATTCAGGCTCGCAATAAGCATTCCCAGCCCAACCATAAGAAGGCAACATCTTCCCACAAGGTTTGAACTAATGGCTGATAAGGGTGATTATTTTAGCTACTTAGCTGATAGGGTCAGTTAGACCACCAAACATCTCCCTTCAGTAGTGCCTGTATATCTAAACTGAAACCAATGACATTACATCTTGAACATCAAGCTGAGCATAAAAACACACTTACCGATAATACATCATATATTGTCTTTATTCCAGTCAAGTGAATTTGGCAGCAATTCAGAAACCATGTTAGACGATGATATGGGGAAGATTTTACAAACCTTGGAAAGGTAAAGTCTTTAGTGCCCCCAGAGATCACTGCCCCCTAGCTTTTTAGCAAATTTGAGTTCATTCTTGATTTTTCTGCATTTCACTCAAAGTAGTGATCCTAACCTTGGGACAAAAACAATTGTGATTTCATTGATTTTAATGAATTTGGGGTCAAGATGATGAGCAATTGCTGACTGGAAAATCAAACTCTACCTCTCAAACCCATCCCATGTAAATGTATTAATTAATTGTTTTCACTCCTCTCAAATCTAGCCCTACCACAGTGCCGAAAAGATCACTTCGTAAAAGAAAGCAGGAATCCATGGCAAGTCCAGATTACTCTACTGGTGAAAACTGTAGTTCCAGTGAAGTTGAAACCACGAAACGAAAAAGAAAAGCACCCAGAAAATAACAATAATATTTTTTTTTATTTCTGGTTTTTAATTTTACCAAGAAACATTGCTTACTTGAATACACTAGGTATTCATAGAGAAAAAAAAATGTTTTTTGTAGTATATTGGTAGGTATAGTTTGCTTCCCTGCTTTGTAAATGAACATGTGTGTTGATGTCACATGACTGCCTTTGCAACTTTTACATGGAAGAGAAATAAATTGGATGTTTGTGAAATCTTTAGTTCCCTGGAATACCTAAAAGTGGCATATGCTGTTTTTGTTGTACTATACAAAATGTATATATTTGTCTCAAACAAATCCACAATTTACATCTTGTGATGTGTCATTTATATATAAAGTTTCAGTCGTAAAATAAGTTATGAACTGTCAACAGCAAACATATACACTTGGATTGAACTTGCAGATCAACAAGGTTTAGTCGGTGAATAAACCTATAATTAGAAGGTTGAAAATAAATATAAATTACCCACCGAGAGAATTATCAGGACTTCTCCTGTGGAGAGATTTTATTATATACATGTACATTCAACTAAATAATCATCTTCCACAACAATTTGACATTTTAAGTCTGCTTTATATTAAAATAGTCATGTAACAGAAACTCTATGGATGTCATATAGGTGCGCACACAGTTCTATTGGCGGCGGGGGGCAGCATTATAAATTTGTATTCAAATTGGTGGAATAAATACAAGTCAGAATGTGATGTCAAAAAAAAAAAAACTGTTTTCTGATTGGTCTAATGTGTACTCATTTAGGCAACTTTATTTTTTTGCACAATTATTGAAAGTTTTCTCATATTTGTGTATATATGTTTGTTATAATTTTTATCAGCACATTGTGCTTATATGTACATGTTCCAAATATTAAACAGAAATTGATAGGCACAAGTTTGGGAATTGTTTACATTGCTTTGATTTCTTGGCATGACAAATCCCTGCAAGAATTTGTTATCAAAAAAGGCCAGTATCATTTCAAAAATGAGGATTATTGTGAGAAAAGAAAAATGAATAATATTTAGAGCTGCACTAAAATTCAGTTGTTTCTGCACAAGTTATTATAATGACCTAAGAGATTAACATGTGCAGAAAACGAGAAAACAGTTGACACATCATTGATCATTTATGCATGTTTTTTTTCATTAACCTAATTACCATATTTTTTAGAAGCAGAAATAGACATTACTAACAAAGCAAATAATGATATGCATATATTGCAATGAATGACCACACATGGAGGGAAGAATCAATTTTTATAAAATAAGCCGTTCTTTATTTACAAAGCCCGACATGTTCACACTGCCCTCTGCATAAACACTGCCATGAATACGCCTGTGTTTCTAACAACTCTGTATTTACATAATATGCCACTTAACAGTTACAATAAATATTATACATCATCTTTTCATGATGCTTGTGTTTATTTCAAATCATGACGTGCTTGTCTGAGATGTTGGAACATTATATAGCTTCAATTTATAGATAAAAAATATTCACTATAGTACAGTGATATGTGCATCACATGGTAGAGACAGAAACGACACACAAGGGAAGACGCTGTGTTCCCACTGCACTCCTTTAAGTCAACTTGATGACGTTTTCCAGGTTCTTAGCACCAGCACTGTGGAGTTGTCAAATCATGCATCAGATGGTATTCAGGTAGTTTTCTAGTGGATGTTTTATGCGTTGTATTCCACACTTCGTGAAGGTGTAGTTGGGAAGTTCCTCTGGCATATTGTCATTAATCGCTTCAAACCCTAAAAGAATTAGATTACATAATATCACTTTTGTGGAATTAAAATATAAAGGAAGGTCACTTCTTTGAAGTCGTATTTATACGATTTTACCCAATTAGATTTGAAATTCTGCTCTCTTGGTTACAATTGACTTCAACAAGATTCAATGGAGCAATTCAATGAACTATTTCATTAAACAAATTCCTACAATTGAAGTAGGATAACTTTTTTCTGAAAAATAATATTAAATACAGAATAACTTTGAATGGAGCCTGAACATTTGAGATCAGTTCCTTTCAAGTTTTCTATAAAGTTCTGGTCAAATTATCTTATTACATTTTGATGTCACTTCATGGCCGCCAAAGTGGATGTATTGGTTGTTTTGAGTTTATTCACTGGGGGTCACATTCATGAATTTGCCAGCTAAACAATGGATTATTTTGCATAGATTTTACTTGTCAGCAAAAAAACAATATTAAAACATTAATGCATTTATAGTACACAAATACATCACCAATGACCATCTAAATAAGCTGTTATTAGTACTGTCAAGTCAGTATTAGAAGCCGCGACTTCAATTAAAATGGTACAATGCAACAGAGGGCTTCTATCTACACATACAAGAAAGTTAATTTTTAGTTTTTGGAATTTTTGAGGCTTTTAATACAGATTAGGGGTGCCAGTACATGAATATAATTAATTTCAGTTGAGTTGAGTTGAAGTACATAAGTGACTGGTGTAAGGGCTGTGTAGCCAAACACACAGTCTTGTATGTAGCTTTACATTGAATCCTTGACTCTGGCATTGAGCAATTTTTATGATGTTATTGAACACAATTGCAGCAGTGGTATTTTTGTTCTTGCCAAATAGAGCATGTTTCTAGAATCCTGTTCTGGGATTGTCTCCTACCTGGATATACTTGCGCTGGGTTTCATCATTCAGTACATGGGCAATCTGTTGAGAGAAGATTTTCTCTCTTCCTGTACGGGCATGAATACCAACCATAGTGACACCGATAGGCCATGGAGCGTTACCAATGGCCATTTGTAAGTAATAATCGGCAGCCTAAAATAAAAGGAGCAATAATTGACTGAATTAAAGATAAATGCTACTAAGAACTCTGCAATACGTGAAGTGAGACTATCAGGTTAGTTTTGAGAATTAGTACATGC